TGTATTATTATTATTATTATTATTATTATTATTAACCATCTCGCCTTGCATATATCTTTCTAGTAATAAATTATATACTCTTTGTATTAGTTTGTCACTGGATGACGGCCATATCTTATCTAGTTCATTATTTCCTGTATAGAATCCTATAGTTTTATCTTTACTATTATATGGATTTTAGTTTTATTATTATTAACCATCTCATCTTGCATATATCTTTCTAGTAAAAAATTATATACTCTTTGTATTAGTTTGTCACTGGATGACGGCCATATCTTATCTAGTTCATTATTTCCTGTATAGAATCCTATAGTTTTATCTTTACTATTATATGGATTTTAGTTGAGTAGATTCCAACCATGTCAAATGTGTACCTGCTGAGTACAATGAGTCCAATTTTTTAATATTATCTTTTTTTATCCAGTAAATACTCATATGTTTCTATCTTGTCCTTGGTCAACAGGGTTGGTTTAATAAAGGCTTCAAGTGGGGAGACCCACCTTGGTATTTTCTTATAATATTTTTCTTTCAAATTCTGCCAATATTTTATCTTTAAACGGTGCAAAGATCTCTTCCCCAAATATTTGGTATATTTCAGCTGGCAAACCATCAGGTCCTGGTGATGTCTTCTTCTTTTGTCTTTTAATCACTTTGATAATTTCACATGGTGATATGCTTTCATTTAAAAGTTTCTTCTGATTTTCATCGAATTTTTTGTAGGTATTTTGTGTTACAAAAGTTTTCTATTTGCTGTATTTTTTTCTCAGATGACGGAAGGATTGTGGCAGTTAAAATAATGAGAGAGGGGGGGAAATGATAGTTATTAATATATATGCTCCTAATCAAAATCAAGAATTTTTTTTAAAGAACTGAAAAATGTACTAGATAATTTGACAATGGAAGAAGTATGTATAATAGGAGACTTCAATGCAGTCTTTGAGTCCAAAATGACAGAAAAACACAGGGTAAAAATAAATCAGGCAAAACACTCTCGAAACTTTTTTTACAAATAGTAGAAGAACATGCCTGGAGAACATGCCTGGAGAACAAGAAATTTGGAGAAAAAAGATTACACCTTCTATTCTTCCAGACATAAATCCTGGTCATATTGATTTATACACCAACCTCTTATGTATACTTTGAACAGGTCCCAGACCATGTTTATTGAAATTTCTGGTTGTAGATTACTCTTGAAAAATTCTTGAATTTCAATTTTTGTTTTCCTTATAAATTCTGGTTGTAGATTACTCTTGAAAAATTCCTGAATTTCAATTTTTGTTTTCCTTATAAATTCTGGGTCTTCACCAGGCCAACCGACCTTGGTCCAGGTAAATTTAAAGGATTTGCAAAGCCAAATTCAAGAGGCTGTATCTACAGCAGTAAACCAAGTGATGAAAACAGGTTTATCTTCAGCTTTACCTACAGCAGTAAATATAGCTGTTGAAACAGCTTTGCCCTCAGTAGTGGATAAAGCATTAGAACTGATTCAAATGAAGCTAGACAACCTTACACAGCAATTTACAGTGCAAACGGAAGAAATTTAAAAAACTGGCTCAGGAAAATCAAAAAGAAATTGCTGGTTTAATGACCTCTATGAAAAAAGTAGAAAAACAAATCTGAAGATACGGATCAACAAATACGACGTTTAAATAGAAGGCATGATGAGTTAGAAGATCTGTTGATAAAAATGAAAACAGAGAAAGCAGCCTACATGCTAAGGTTCCAAAATTTTCCTGAAAAGAAAGACAAAGATCTCAAAAAAGATATGGCACAAATATTAGCAGAGTTTATTGAACTAGAAAATATGAAAGAGGTATTTGATGAGATTGAGAAGGCATTTAGGATGAATTTGGTTTACGCAAAAATAATAATAATAATAATAATCCAGAGAGGTCCATGTCAAATTTTATAAAAAGCATTTGCGTGAAAAGATTTTAAAAGTTGTAAACGAAAAACATTTATGTTCTCAAGAGATAGAAATTAGAATTTTAAAGAATGTCCCTTGGAGGGTGAGGAAGAAAAGACAAAAATATACAAACCTGGTGAAGTGTTTAAAGAAAAATGATATTTCCTATAGATGGCTAATGCCAGAAGGGGTCTTTTTCATATATAATGGCAAAAGACAGAAAAATTAATTCAATCTTTAAGATGGAGGATTTTCTCAAAAAATATGGAGAAAAATTAAAATTGCATGATGATGACATATCTGAGACTGAAGAAGAAGAACATCAGGAAATAGGCGCATCAAGTATAATAAAAAGTAATAACAAAGAAACGTTCAAAGTGAAAACTATTCAATTGCAAGTTCTTATGAGATTCCAACAGAGAAATATAACCGAGAGCCAGAAAGAAGTGAATGATAGAGAGCAGTAAATTAAAATTAATTTCAATAAATGTAAATGGCCTTAATGGACCTAAAAAATGAAGATAATTTTTTCATCAAATAATTAAGTTGAAGCCAGATATCGTTTGTTTGCAAGAGACACATATTAAGCAATCAGAGCAAAAAAATCTGGAAAACAAAAAGCTCAGCAAAATTGTTATTTCAGCTGATAAGCAGAAAAAGAAAAAGGGTCTGGCAACCTATGTTAAAGACTCTTTACATCCAGAAAGGATCTATGATTTGGACAATGGAAGAATTTTATTAGTTCAAATCCAAAGACAAGCTAAAAGTATGTTGATTGCTAATATATATGCTCCAAATCAGGATCAAGAAAAATTATTTGAAGCATTGAGGAACATTATAGTGAAACATAACTTTTAAGAGCTATGTGTTATAGGGGACTACAACGCAGTGTTTGAAAAGACCGTGGATAGGAAAAAACAAGTAGGGAAATATAAACAGGGAAATGAACTACCCAATGCCTTTTTAAAGATGACTGAAGAACTGAACTTGATAGATGTATGGAGGACCAAATATATTAATAAAATGGATTTCACATTTTATTCCCAAAAAAGATTTAGATGGCCGATGAATACATGGCTTTTAAAAAATGAAAAATTTGTAATGCAAACCAAAAAAGACAAAATGTACAGGCAGATATTAGTATGGACATCATATGGGATACTTTTAAGGCATATACAAGGGGAATATTTATCCGTCAAAATGCAGGGGTGAAAAAACAAAATAATAGAAAATTTGTGCAGATTGAAAAGCAAATTAAGGAGCAGGAGGACAAGTAGAAAAGACAAGTGTCTTTGGAACAGTTTAGGATAAGAATTAAAACCCTACAACATCAAATGAACTGTCTCCTGACCCAGGAAATCACAAATATATATATATGTTTGCAAAACAATTTTTTTTGAAAACACAAACAAACCGTCGAGGTGGCTGGTGTATAGATTAAGATAAAAAAAGGAGAAAAGACACACAAAAATTTTGAGAAATGACCAGGGAGAAGAAAAAAATTATAGAAAGATTCTATGAAAATCTATATGAAAAATAAGACGGTAATCAAGAAAAAATTAAATAATTTATCAAAAATAATAAAAATATTTTCAAAATTTCAGAAACCCAAAGAAAAATAGTTAATGATCCAATCTCGGTTTTAGAAATATCAGAGGCAATTAAAAAACAAAAGAAACAAAAAAACTCTGGGTCCAGATGGAATAGTAAAGGTAAAGCTTCCCTTGCTCGAAAGCCAGTCGAATCCGACTCTAGGGTTGCGGTGCTCATCTCCGTTTCAAAGCCGAAGAGCCGGCGCTGTCCGAAGACGTTTCCGTGGTCATGTGGCCGGCATGACTAAACACCAAGGTGCACAGAACGCTGTTACCTTCCCACTGAAGTGGTACCTATTTATCTACTTGCAATTTCTTGCTTTCGAACTGCTAGGTTGGCAGGAGCTGGAACTAGAGACCGAGCTCACTCCGTCATGTGGCACCTGGGTCTCGAACTGCTAAACTACCGACCTTTCACAGCCTGCAATTCAGCGTCTTAACCACTTGAGCCACCGCAGATGGAATACCAGCGGAGTTTTAGCGAATTTTTGAAGAACAATTAATACTCCCATTTAAACATACACCCCAAAGTATCATTCATAAGAAAAAAATACCTGATTCTTGGAATGAGGCCCTAATTACTCTCTTTCCCAAACAAGATACAGATGTGAAGGAAATTAAAAACTAAGAAACAACATAAGAGTTATCTTGAATGTGCTTGAATACTATGAAGTTCACCCAGGAAAACAGTTGGCACTGGTATTTCTAGATGCTGAGAAAGCATTCGATAATATCAATTGAGATTTTATGTTAGAGCAATTAACAGTATCACAGTGTGGAGAGAACTTCAATACGATGGTTAAAGTCATATACAATAAACAACAAGCCAGAATTGTAATAAATGGGGATTTAACGCAAAATATTGAGATACATAAAGGAACCCACCAAGGTTGCCCCTTATCTCCACTCCTCTTTATTTTTACTTTGGAAAGTCTGTGTGAAACAATAAGATATGACACTCAAATCAAAGGATTGAAAATAAAAGGTGAAGAATTTAAAATATAAGCTTTCGCTGATGATTTAGTATTTCTATTGCAAGAACTGCTACAATCTATGACATATTTGTTAAATTCACTACATGAATATGGACAGCTAGCAGGATTAACAATTAATTCCAGGAAAACAAAGCTAATGACAAAGAACTGCACCCAACAGCAAAACTTACAATTGCAGGAGATATCTGGTTTTGAAATTCAGAAGAAGATAAAATATCTAGGAGCAATTATTATAAACAGATGTAGGGTGCTAGTACAAGATAATTATTTAAAACTTCTTTCTGAAATTAAAAGGGATTTGGAAAGATGGAAGGATATGCAACTCTTGCTTTTGGGAAGGATTGCAGTGTTAAAAATGAACGTTTTACCAAGAGTGTTATTTCTTTTCCAAACAATACTTATACTTAAAAACCAAAACTATTTCAGGGATTTAGAAAAACTGGATCAAGAATTTATCTGGCAATAGAAAAGACCTAGAATCAAACTAAAGGTGCTACAGGACAGGAAAGATCGAGGCGGTTTTGCTCTTCTGGATTGGCGTTTATATTATCAAGCAACATCCTTGACTTGGATCAGAGAGTGAATTACTTTACAAAACTCAAGACTTTTGGAATTAGACAGCCATAATTTACTTTTGGGCTGGCATGCCTTTTTGTGGTACAATAAGCAAAGTGCTCATAGTTACTTTAAACAACATGCGTTAAGAGGTGCCCTATTGAAAACATGGGAAGAAATAAAAAGATTATTTTATATAAAAACCCCAAAATGGATAGCCCCTCTAGAAGCATTCATTAACCCTAATTTAATTACAAAAAACTTAATGGGAAGATACAAAGAATTACTAGACAGTAAACACGAGTTAAAATCTCAGGAAGTGCTGCAAAAACAAGAGGTGACTTTAAATTGGTGGGAAAGAATTCAATTAGAATCCAGATATGCCAAAGATAGACAGAAGGGTTTCTATGAAAAACAGACGGAGCTAGATAAAAGTTTAGTAAATACAGAAGACAAACTTATAAAAAAACTGTATATGGTCGTCTTAGATTTCAAGATGCAAGACGAGATGGTAAAGGTTTCTATGATTTCTTGGGCACAAAACGTAGGTTACAATATCAATATAGATAAATGGTTTAGAGTGTGGAACACTAATATAAAATTTACTAAAGCTGCACCTCTTAAAGAGAATTTCTACAAGATGTTTTATAGATGGTACTTGACACCGGAGAGATTGGCTAAATATTATCCCAACATGTCAAACGTATTCTGGAAGTGTAAAGAAAAGGTTGGCTCTTTCTTTCATATTTGGTGGTGATGCGAAAAGAGTAAAAAAAAATTGGACTTGGGTTCATGGTATGATTCAGCAAGTATTAGGAGCTACTGTACCGCTTAAAGCAGAGGTGTTTTTGTTAAATATAATTCCTGAACAATGTAAAAAACTAGATTGTTAATTAATTACGCACATTGTAACAGCATCTAGAATTCTTTTTGCAAGTATGAGGAAGAAAGAAGATATACCCACCAAAGAAGAAATAGTTTACAAACGATTGGAAATAGCTGAAATGGACAATTTAACAATATTACTCCAAGGAAGAAGAGACAACAAGTTAAAAGATATTGGTCTTGATAGGTTGCTGGTGTGGTGCATTATAGAAACTTCTGTGTGATGTTTGCAACTGCAGAGAAGAGACAACAAGTTAAAAGATGTCTGGGCAAGATTTTACCTGTGGATAGAGAAAAGCACTAAGATTTGATTATAAAGATAATTTTAAGACTAAGCTATGTATAAGTATAACTGCCATGGAATAAGGAAAAACAAAATAGGTAGAAGGAGAGGGGGTGGAAACCTGGTTATGTTTATATGTCCGTGTAGTTGTTCCACTTGTGTTTGGTTTTTGTGAGTGATAATTTGTTTAAATTCAATAAATAATAATTAAAATGATGATGATCTCATTTCAGGTAGTGACTCCTTATGGTGTATCTACTCCAATGTCTGAGAACCCAAAGCCTAATCTAATCACAAAGTCAGCAAAAGCATTTGTTAGAGAATCCCTGGATTATGTCAGACTCAGAGATGAAACACACGGATGTTTAGCCCATGAAATCTTGGTAATTCAATTATAAAATTTCATCAAATGAAAAAGGCTTTCTATTAGCAGCATTAAAGGACTTTTACTGTTGTTTATTGTAGTCTTAAATGATATGTGTTCAGTTTCTCCTTAACTCTTTTAGTCCTTGTATACATAGCCAAATTAACACCTCAGATTATGGTAATACATAATCTTAGCTGTTATTGAAATTAAACCATAATGAGATCTTTATAATGGTGGGATAAAACCTGCTATGGTGCTTGGCTGCATCTTGGCTGCATCTGAATGCCAATAATGGTGTAGTGAAATGTCTTTTTTTAAACTTGTGGCCTATCCTGAGTACTTGGAAATAGAAGGAGGGCCTTCTAATGAGAATTCTAATACCACTTATCATACCCTCTTCATGCATACAAGTCTTCCATGCAGAGAAATGCCATTCAGAAATCAGTTGTGAAGTAGAATTTGCCACTGCATTTTCAGGTGCATCCTTACATAATGTACATTCAGCAGTGAGTCTATTAGGGAAGTGAAATCACTGCAGTTGTGTTGCTTGTACTATCTTCTCCTCATATCAAGGAAACATTTTTTTCTGTTTTATCAGATAACTACAGTACCAATCGGCTGGTATTGTGTCAGTCATAAATAATTGTGTCAGTGACAAGGTGTGCATAGTGCTAATTTGCTGTCTGTCATGTCATTCTTGAAGCCCATCTTCTCAGTAGTTTTCAAAAAATTTAAAAAAATCAAATGGAGAAAAAAATTTGAATTCCCAAACAAATATATAAGGAGATGATGGTGCTGATACTTTAGCAGGGGATTACCCAAAAAGCAAAGTAGACAGAAACATAGGGGAGGGAGTATGATCCAAAGACTTTATGGGTGACAGTTCAGAATCAGAAGAAGGTGAACCAGAACTTGTGTATTCAGGTGTATATGATTTTTAAGCTATCAAAGAGTATTTCCAAAGAAATCTTCTAAGTTCTGGTTTACTGTGCAGCTGAAACATGTCATTACTTATGGAACATATACGAGCTTAACACTGGTAATATATCCCATTGCTATAAAGCCAGTCCACATAATTAAATCTTAGTGAGGTTTTTTTTTCCTTTTTAAAGGCAGTCTTCCTGCATTTTGTCCCTTTGTGGGTCTTCCATGCCAACAGAGTACAAGAAATAATCCTACGCCTGAATCCAAAGCACCGGTAAAAGATGCAGAAGAGTACCTGATCAAGCTTCCTTGTAGTGTATGTCATTGCTTGATAGTATGTTAGCAAACAAAATGGGGGAATGGGTGTGTATAATGTAAGCCAAAAAATAAGAAACACCGTGCAAAAAAATTAATATAATTTATATAGCAATAAAATTATTAATTTTTGAAATTGTTGTAGATTCTTTAGTCTCAAACTAAGTTGCATTTCACATACAAACATTATAATTTAAATCAATTTACATCAACAATGATACACAAGCAGATACTTATATTAAAAAATTCCAGTAGAAAAGAGCAAGAGTCCAGTAGCATCTTAAAGACTAAGAAAATATGTGGCAGGGTATGACCTTTCATGAGTCACTGCTCACTCTTGAAAGCTCATACCCTGCCACCTATTTTGTTAGTCTTTAAGATCCTACTGGACTCTTGCTCTTTTCTGCTGCTACAGACAGACAAATTACATTAATTTTTGCACAGTGTTTCTTCTTCTTTATTGCTTGATACTATGGCAAGAATTATGCCTCAACAAATATAATCAGTTGAAACATTTTCAGTATGAGTATAAAGAGCTCTTCGAAGTCAGTGCTGGTCTTTTAAAAACTATTTTTTAGTTTCAGTTTGGACTACATGTTATCAATTTCTGCTTCTGCAACCCCTTCTGTAGCCTGAGCTAATGGGTGGTGCATATTTCAAAACAATGTAATGATATTATTGTTGCAATATTGTTTTGCAGATTTATTTCCACAGGTGATACAAGAACTCTGTGGAAAACATAGCCCTGTGTGAGCACAATGTGATTGTAAAATAGGTAAAGAGGTTTTGTATTGATAAAGGAAGATAGAATGCCTAGGTAGGACTTTCAGAAATCATTTCCTTTTAGTGAGAAAGAGTTTAAGGTTTAGATGCCAGGGCTGATAGATATAAGTAAGTGGAAGAATGGTCATTTAGATATTAATTTGGGGTGAGGGAACTGAAGCAGGAGGACTGAGATATGAAATAAGAACTAAGAAGATGGCAGCATTAGGGAGCTGTGTGTATTCTTGAATTTCACTGGAAAAAGTGAGATTTTTTTGTAAGTGAACTTGAAACTTTTCTTTCTTTTTTGCCATCAAGTCATAGCTGATTTATGGCTACCCTACTGAGTTTTCAAGGCAAGAGATGTTCAGGGGTTGTTTGCCATTGCCTGCCTCTGCATCACAACCCTGGTATTCCTTGGAGGTCTCTCATCTGAATAGTAGAAAGGGCCAACCCTGCTTAGCTTAGATTTATAGTGAACATTTTGAAATGCAGGATTTATGAGTAGTGCTGAGATGATTTGCAGTGTTTTTAATCTGGCTTACTTTGAGTAAATTGTGCAGCACATAATCCATACCATGTTTGCATTGTGTTAATTAATGCCTCTAATATTAAACAATAAATCTACCACATCAATTAAAGTAATAAGTATGTTTTATAATACTATGGTTGTTTTTGGTGTGCTTCTTTATTTCGTGATACATAGGCTAATTACATCCATAAATTCTGGGTCTGTGTGAGGCTTTGGCTATCTGGTTGAAACAGCATATTGTACAAATCCCACCTAGGTCCTGAATATGACCACATTCCATCAGGTTGCCTGTGTAAAGGTTCCAGCATGGAGACTCCCATTGCTCATCACTGCCTGTTTCCAACATGGTACTCATTATTACATCTACCGATTAGTTTATGCCAACTAGGGCAAACAGCAGTTTTCTGGGGCAATTTCAGGTCAGAAAAATGGCACTGAGGAGAAGGATGAGACCCCCCCCCCCCCGTGTGCCATGTTGTTTTCAGTTGCATAGTCAAGTCCGACTCTTTGTGACCCCATGGACCACATCACGCCAGGCCCTCCTGTCTTCCATCGTGCTCCAGCGTTTGCTAAATTTCATGTTCATTGCATCGATAACACTGTCTAACCATCTCATCATTTGATATTCCCTTCTTCTTTTACCTTCAATCTTTCCCGGCATCAGGGTCTTCTCCAGTGAGTGCTCCCTTCTCATTTGGTGACCAAAGTATTTGAGCTTCTGCTTCAGTATCTGGCCTTCCAGGGAAGAGTCAGGGTTGATTTCTTTTAGAATCGACTGATTCGATCTCCTTGCAGTCCAAGGGACTCTCAAGAGTCTTCTCCAGCACCATAATTCAAAATAATCTGTTCTTTGGTGCTCAGTCTTCCTTATAGTCCAACTCTTGCAGCCATACATTACTACTGGGAATACCATTGCTCTGACCATACAGACTTTTGTTGGCATGGTGATGTCTCTACTTTTATTATGCTCTCTAGGTGATGTCTCTACTTTTATTATGCTCTCTAGGTGATGTCTCTACTTTTATTATGCTCTCTAGGTGATGTCTCTACTTTTATTATGCTCACTTTCCTCTCAAGGAGCAGGCGTCTTTTAATTTCATGGCTGCAGTCACCGTCTGCAGTGATCTTGGACCCCAGGAACATGAAGTCTGTCACTGCTTCCATGACTTCCCCTTCTATTTGCCAAGGAGTGATGGGGCCGGATGCCATGATCTTAGTCTTTTTGATGCTGAGTTTCAAGTCAACTTTTGCGCTCTCCTCTTTCATCCTCTGAGCAAGAGGCTCCCTTATACAGGTTTCTCAAGAGACATGTGAGGTGGTCTGGTATGCTGAGACTCGGAGGGAAGGAGGGGGAAGAGACAGCATTGGAGAATCATCTTCCTAGCCAGTTTCTATGAGAGATATGGAGTTCAGTTGTAAATCATTTGGTGGTCTTGGGGAGACCTATGGCCAGTGTTCCCTCTAAGCTGAGTTAGTGTGAGCTAGCTCACAGTTTTTTTATCCTCCAGCTCACACATTTTTGTCTTAGCTCAGGAAGGATGGCTCCAGAGCAAACTAATAGTAGCCAAATGGCTCGCTCACTACTTTAATGTCAGTAGCTCACAAAGTAGAATTTTTGCATCTCCACTGATGTAGCAGTGGCTATGGAGACTCTGAAGCTGAAAAAGTGTCAGTGAGGGAAGAACAGAGCACTAGCCTGCTGCCCTGGCTTCTGCTAACTGCTCAGAATATGGTTGTGCAGGGAAACATGGAAGAAAATTGCACCCTGGCAGATTTGGCAGCTGCTATAAAGGAAAAGCAAAGGCACAGCCTATCAGTGAAGCTTCTGCTAACAGCTCAGGAAATTGCTGTGCAGGGGAAATTAGCGTGGAAAGAGAAAATACGAAAACCAGAAGTGGAACTGGGAAATGGGATGAATCTACAAGTGCTGACAGGCACTCTGGAGAGAAAAAAAATCAAAAACTGGGGGTGGGGAGCAATGCACCCATGGTGGAGATACTGCAGACTGTGAATTATTACACCAACCAGGAGCTAATTGCATTGCAGTAGCTGAGGCAGCTCCTGGGAATGGCTCCCTCCATTGAGAGCATACATATGTGTCACAAATCCCCAGTATGGTCCGGCAGAGCACAATTTTCCCAAAACCGGGGTATGTGTGTGTCCACACACGTCCCAGTCTGGTAGTCTGCTACCAGCCCCCTGAACTACCCACATGGTCAGAAGCCAAGGGGTAAGCTTCTAACCTTACTGGGAATTAATTAAGAAAGTCAACCCTGCAAGGTAGGCTACCTGCAGAATGAGTTTCCACTATAATTAACTTGTCAGGTGGACTCTTTAGGTCAAAAGTAGTGAGATTAGAATGAAGCACAGAACACCCCAGTATAAGCAAAAGATATTTGTTAAAGAGTGCAGGAATATTTCAAAAGAACTGTCGTAAGTCAGTCTGTGCTCAGTGACAGCACAGATTCTGCAGACAAAGAGCTACCTGCAGCTGGTCCTTAGCCAAAAATCGAACAACCAGCTGCAGCTGGCTCTGAGCCAGGAGGAGAGCAACAAAAGATCAGGTTACCTGGCTGAGCAGAAGTCACAGCCTACAGCTGAAACCAAGCCCCAACACCTTCTAGCTCTGAAGCAGTAAACAAGGCTTCAGAAGCCAATCCCAGCCCTCCTAGCTTACCCACACATCTGCAGTGCCGTCAGAGGCAAGCTGAGTTGCAGAAAAGTAGGATGAGTGTGAGACTCATGGCTCATTGTCAGCTGTCAACTGACAAGATGGATGACTGCCTAGGAATTCGCTGGGAGTGTAGCTTGTTAAGACTTGGCAATAAAGTCAGCCAGGAGAAACAGCAGTTTGTGGGTGCAACAAATACACCTTGCTACTGAGCCACCAGCCTTGCTGTTACCGGACCTCTGCAGCCTTGAACTGAACCTAACAACTGGCTTTTCTGGAAACCCTGACCCTGACCCTGGACTGGACTTGGGCTTGCTACCTGGAACTCCTTGACCCTAAACTGGACTTTGTTCAACCTACTCTCTGGAACCTCTGACTTTGGACTGGACTCTGATTAGTCTCTCTCTGCCATCCTTGCTTCCTGGGAGGACTGGGCTAGTACAGATTGCATCCACCCAGACAGTGACATGGACAATGTTGATGCCACCCTGGTCAACTTGGCTGCGCAGAATCAGGCTCTACAAACACAGGTATGACAGCTTACCAACACCTTGACTCTGCTGCCGCTGCAGCACCTGCAGCACCCCCAGAAAAATACCCAGTGAGTTTACCGAAGAGGTTTGGGGGGAGCTGTGAAGAGTTTCCAGGCTTCCTGGCCCAATATAAGTTGTACATTACTCTCGCTGCAAGAGACTTCTCCACTGATAGAATGGAAGTAGGTTTCATATTGTATTAAGACTTGGCAATAAAGTCAGCCAGGAGAAACAGCAGTTTGTGGGTGCAACAAATATACCTTGCTACTGAGTCACCAACCTTGCTGTTACTGGACCTCTGCAGCCTTGAACTGAACCTAACAACTGGCTTTTCGGGAAACCCTGACCCTGGACTTAGGCTTGCTACCTGGAACTACTTGACCCTAAACTGGACTTTGTTCAACCTGCTCTCTGGAACCTCTGACTTTGGACTGGACTCTGATTAGTCTCTCTCTGCCATCCTTG